CTGCAAGAATGCTTCCCCCTGCTTATTGGCCTGTTTCTAGAAATACCTGAAGCTATGCCTCAGGTCTAATGATAATCACCTTTGACATAAATTAAGATTTCCTTATTCCCTCTTCTTTTAAAATTTCTGAAAATATTGACTTCTTCCTCGTTACTGTAGTAAGCCAGAGTGTATTTCACACCATTTAAGAAAGGATGAAGTTACAGACCATCTAAGTGCATCCTAAAGATTGATGTGCTTGCCAATATGAGATCTTCTAATAATTATTTGCATTTCTAGCACCAAGGATTTGCAAACCCTGTATTTGTCTTCCATAAACTGTAGCTGCTTAACTCCTTTTATTTTTTTCTCTCTAATTGGCAATAACTTTTCAAGATTTTCTTCTGAAAGGATTTAGTAAGTGTTGCCTCTCTAGCTCTTTTTTCTCTTCAGGTCCTAATACAGGAGATCTTTTCCTGGATCCTAGGAAAGCAGCAGTGCTCTGGGCAACTGTTCTGTAGCTCTCTCTGTAGAGCAGGAGAAGTGAAACCACTCCTTCCTCTCAAAGAAGTGCTAGACCAGAAAAATGAATTTAATATTGAACATATCTACCTCAATGATTCAAAGAAACCAGAAAAGAAAAGATGCAGGGGGAAATATAGCCAGGGGTAAATACATTAACTCTTTTCCCATAAATATATCGGTTTGCATGAGGCAACTGCTCTGTCTACAGGAGATATAAAAAGATACATTTGAAAATTTCTTGGGTGATCTTTTAGGGTAAAATTTTCCCCATAAGGTAAAACTTTTGTTCTAACAATCTGCAGTTGCAGTTGTGCATAATCTGACAATATATATTCAGAGGACAATTTGCATTTCAGAGCATGCAACTGGAATAAATCATGTAACGAGGCAGCTGAACTTGCTTGAACAGAGCTTGCAAGGTTCAAAACGTTATTCTTCTTGCAAACAATACTGAAATGAAATTGATGAAGATAATGCCAGCTTCGCTGGGCCTTCTTGCTGATCACATGTAAAGGACAACATACACGAGCAGATACCATTCCGGAGCTTTGATGGTATGAACACAATGTCTAACCCACTAATGACACATTAAAATACACAGATGTGAAACAACATGGTCCTGAAAATGCAGATATGCCTTGTTTAGGGTTTTATTATTATTAATTGCTTAATCAATAAGAAGTTATATTATTTTGAAGATTTTCACTTAAAAGTGAAAGCTTTAGGTTAGATCTTTAGGTTAAACATAGCATGAGAAATTTCAACCTAAACAAAACATTTGCGAGAATATTACAAATAACCCAGTTAACAATTTTGCTTGGAATGCTCCACTTAGCCTCAACTGCAGCGTAACCACAAAAATAGCACTGTTAAGAAAACTGCAATAGACCTTTTGGCAGAACTACACTTTCAGTTTAATTTTCAGGTGCCTTTTTCTTTTTATTGCTACTGTATTTAACAGTTTATCATGCATAATTTTCTCTACAGCTGGTATTTTCCACTTCTGCTTTATTTCATTTGACAGAACTGAGCAAAAGCAGTAGAAAAGTTGAGAAAAAATTAATTTGTTCTTAACCTTGTACCATTTTTCTTATTTTTTTTTCCTCTCATCTTCATATAAAAAAATACGTAGCGTGACACTTCAGTGTTTATCTTGTGCATATAAATGCCAGACAGACCAATAAACAAGTTGAAATGCTGACTGAAAAGTATTTAAAATAAAAGCTGTCTGACTGCTTTCTGTAAAACACATACATTTTAAATGTATCAGTAACAAAAAGTAATACCACCCTAGGAAATACCATCTATGAAAAGCCTTTGGGTAAATTATTGTAAAACAGTGTGACTCATATCTGCAGAGACTAAATAAGGAACAGCCACTATTAACAAGCAATTCCTTTTTCTACACAGTCCATATGGAACCTGGGATATAAAATAACCCAGAAATGTTGCCCATAGCATAAACATTTATTAAACAAAATACTAGAGTGGAGGGAGAAGAGAAAGGAAAGGGAGGGAAAGAAAGATGATCAAACTAAAGAAAGGAAAAGGGAATAAAGTTGTACGTTTTATAAATAATGATCAAAATTAAAGTGCTTTATGTCAGCTAACACCCTGGCAAATAATCCTCCAACAATGGTGGCATACTATAATATTTAAAGTCTCACCACATCTGTCACTTAAACATTTTACTGCCAATGAAAACCTACAGAAAGTTGTCTTGACCATTAACATGCTAGTCAACTTTAGCAGCAGAGAGTAACACAACTTATGCACCTTATGCACCTAGAAACATTAAAAACTGTTTGTTGACAAAACATACAACAGGAAATTCTAGAATTCCTTTGGGTTTCTGATAATTCTGTGACCAACTCCAATGGATTTGGAATTTTACCCCTCAACTATTACTGCTGAGACCTTCATAGAATCCAGGTGCTACTCACGTGGTAAAAATAACATCACTAGAATTTGGCGGACATAAATCATCACAAAGTAGATAGAAAGCACTCATCCAACAACATCACTAACATCAATGAGGATTATAAGTCAGTCTCTGGAACAAATAATTTTTATTTCAAAGGCGCAAGTGGTTGTCCATCATCTGTGGATCTGCCCATACAAGCTGAGATTTTGAAAAATATCATTGTGTGCATTCTTACACCTTTTTGCAGTACTTATTTTTCTGTCAAGATGCTTTGTCCTCTCTCAGCACTCAGGAGGGCCTCGCATCAAAGCATCCTTTCTTTCACAAAGAACGCTTAAAATGGCAAGTCCAGCGAACAGCCTAAAGAACAAATTTAGGCATCAAGTTGAACTACGATGGCAGTCGAAATATTTTTCATGGAAAGGCTTTGATAAAACAGCCACTTTAGTAATGAAGATTCTTTGCTTCTGGGTAAAAAAACATAAAAATAATAATAAAAAGCTTTCCTTGAAAAATTTTTATTCTTACTGCTAATTCTGCCAAAATATTTGAATTCCTAAAAGGCAACAAAGAGACCTTGAGTTGGCCAGTCCTGAAATGGCACCATGCCAGACTTTTTTGAGAGGTGAGTACAAGCCAAGACATCAAAGGTTTCCAAACTCTAAACTCAGCCTCATTGGAACAAATGAAATCTATAAAGAGTAAGATTTAAACTGGATAAGACAAGCCAAAATTACAATTCTATGAAAAAAAAAGGGGCAAAACGAAAAAAAAAAAAAAAACCCACTATCTATAATTTTTAGACTTTCAGTGACTTCTGAGATTTCAGCTAATTCCAGATAGTCCATTTTGGCCCGCTGAGGATTTTTTCTCCTTCCCATCACCTCCAAGCTTCACCTTGGCTCGACTTGCTGCTTCCCAGGAACCTCTCAGCTTTCTTGCCCACTGCAGGCTTCTTGATTTGAATGCCTCTCCCTCCTTCCCTATCTCATCTTGTCTCTGAAGCCAACGTCTAGACAACACGCTAAGTTCCTTGCAGGATAATGACACCCTTGCCCTAAAAGGGCTCAGGGGCAGCCACCTTTCGTTCTGCTGCTTCAACACATGGCATAATATACACTATTCATGCAGCGAACTAAAGAGATGTGAATGAATGTACTGCATTCCTATTCTGCTTTCAAGCCTTAGAAAGAGGGTTTTGGGCTTTTGGGCATTACTTTTAAAGAAAAAATATATTGCAGTGAAAATTTTGAGGGGAGAAGGTTTGCTTGTTTCTAGAAAACAAATACTATATTTCACAATGGAAAATAGTTTTTTAATTAGCATTCTTTAAAAAAAAAAGCACAAAAATACAAATTGAAATTATCTTGCATCTAGTTGGCTGTTAAATCCGTGCATAGGAAACTAGAGATAGTATTTAACTGTCAGCTCAACTTAATTGTGAAGAGAGATACTTAATTACATAAAATTAAGACAGTCAGTAAAGTGAAACACATCCCCAGGGAGCTGCTGCACTGTGTTAATATCTGCACCTCACACTTTCAACAGGAGTGAAACCCACTTTAACTGTGAGATTACTCATTCCTACATGTATCCACATACACTACCCATACTATTTGACTTACTAATCATATAGCTGTTTACATTATTGATGACTTCCAACACCAGTAATTTGATGTACAGGCCAATTAAGTTAGATGAGCACTTTTGAAAATCAGGTGTTTTCTTGTTGTGTTACCTAAAGGGGACCGATATCACTCACTCACAGGACCTGAAGCTTGAGTCCTGTTAATGATAAGGCATAGGCACAGCATCACGAACCTTCTCCTGAGGTCACCCAAGTTGCTAACGTGTAGAATTATGTAACTGTGCTTACTATCTTCATGTTTGTATTTTTTTTTTTAAATCTGCCTTTATATGACACTTATTATTTATGAAACTGCTGATTAAATCTTGGCATTGTTTCTATATACACAGAATGACCACAATAGCCACACGCAAATGAAAGCAAGCTTCATAGCTCCTTTGCTATATAACATAGACAGCGCAGCTGATAATTTGTAAGTACCATCTCAGTTCTTTACACCATATACAACACATCTGCATGTGATTTGTGCTATGACTTGGTTTGATTCTTTTCTTAAGATGGGATCAACTGAGTTTTTACTCTCTCTTCCTCTTCCCTGTCCTTTTTTTCTCAGCTTCATAGGACGAGTATTTACATGCCATGTCTTAATGCCTTGTTTTCAGTAAATATGTAAATAGAAAAACTTTTCTTAACTTTCAGACCTGAATCAAGTCTCCCATTGATTGTATTTATAGCAACATAGTAGTTACATGCTTTACCAAAAATATCACTGGGAGTATGGACCTGAAAAAAATCAGCACAAAATGATGTTTGTGTCTCATTCACAGAGCATAACTACTAGTGAAAAAAAATATCAAAAAAAAAAAAATCAAAAGATGTTCTCTTGTAGTTTGTGTGCTAATGAAGTGAGACTGACTGGTTTCTGTGTGATTGCTCCCAGTAACAGTCTCTGACAGAAGCCTTTGAACAAACAAACAAACGTACCTTTCTTGCAGAATAAGTTTGTTTTCCTTCTTCCAGAACTCTTTGAAGTCAGAGCTGAATTCGTGCCAAATACTGAAGAAAGAATGTGGGGACACCTCTTTCTCTCCCATTTTTGGTTTCATGCAGAAATAAGCTGCAGTTTCCAAAAAGCTGTTAAAGAAAAAAAAAAGTGGCAAATATTTAAGCATCCACAGATTTTTTTTCTTCTGACTTTATACTGACATGGTATTATTTTTGATAACAACGCTAAAATATAGGAATATAAAAACATACAGTTGTGATCTCTATGGATACAGATAGATACACAATATGATTCTCCTCTAAAGGTTTGGGTCTGGCATTTATCATTTGTTCTGTTTTTGAAGCAGTATTTTCCATTTTAAAGGCTAAAATGAGCACACTGTAAATCCAAATACACCTGCACATACACTGACTTTCTGTTGTGTTTAAAACAATTTTTAAAACACACAGTCAAAGCCTATAAAGATTGCAAATAAGGTTCTTCAAATTCTGTTAAGTCTGTGCACGCAAGGGGATAAACATCTTAGAAGCCACAGAAAGGTTGTTAAAACTCAAGCCTGCTGTACACTAAACCAAAAATGATGCAATGGAAAAATGGGCCAGGAACAACTGTGTTAGAAAACAGCTATCCCTCATGATTCTTCCATAACTCTGACATTCATTTCTGAGTGGAGGGGTTCAGCATATGTAAAG